ATTATAGTCAAAGTAAACATCATAAAACTCAGCCAATTGTGCTTGGCACTATTATCCACCAGTCGATCTATGCTACATAGAGAGAAACTATCCTTTGGACAAGCTTTGTTAAAGTTGGTAAAGTTCACGTACATTCTCCATTTTTTGTTGTGTTTCTTTATTGTTACAACGGTAGCAATCTATTCAATGTAGTATGCTTTTTTAGATAAAGCCTATTTTTAGTGGTTTGCTAACTTTTTCCCTAATTGATTTTGTCTTTCTGGGGCAAAGGTTCTTTTTTTTTTTTTCTGCCAAACTAGCTTTATGTTCGAGTCGGTGTATAACTTATGGATCATTATCACAAGATTTATCCCAGACGTGTTAGATTGGATCCAAACGAATAAATCTACATTGTTTCTTAATAGTTGAATTAACTACTCTTTGTGATCGAGTTTTGCCCCTATTTACATACATTTTTTAGTATTATTTTTCTAAAACTATATAGAGATGAGGTTTTTTGTAAGTTTTAATCGGTTATCATCAACTTTCGATCTCTAATCAATGATCTTCTTTAGGTAGGGATTATTTTTTATGAGAATGATGAATCTTGACATAGTAGTTAGTTGATTTTTTAGTAGAATATCACATGGTAGGAAAATGGAACTTATCAAAATGTATCTATGGTATTTTTTTTAACCAGTGTCAGAGCTTACTTCTATTAACATGTGTATATGCTGGCTTAAGAACAGGTTTCATTGAATTTTCTTTAAAATGTATTTACAAATGTCGAGATTAAGAGTTCAGAGTAGCTTAAGAACGCGTTTCTTTTTTCTCTTCGATTTCTATAACTTTTTACCCAAACTATTTTGCTTTGTTCATTAAGTTATTTGACTTTGACCTTTCATGTTCGGTACTTAAGTTTTGTCGGCACCAATTGAACTGTCAACTTGATTCCTAGTCTTTTCTTTTATTATATTCACATAATATTGTCATTCAGTGGACTGGTCTCATCTGATCTCTCTAATCTTATTTGGTGTTGAAAACTTGATTTTCAAATAAGGAGTTAACCCAATCATTCTTATAACAGATTAACTAGGTCAGTCCAATATCATGTTATAAGCTTAAAAGATATTTACCACTATAAATTAATAATCGAGGTGACATTCACCGATTCAATACCCAATAAGATTGATAGTTTGATGGTTCATTTAGTTGGCATTTACTTATTTCTAAAGTCGATCAATGTGGTGTTAAACAGTTTTAACATTTCCTTCTTTTTACTTATTTTTAACATGTTGGCATAACATAAAGCATCAATCAAGCTTTCATTGTCAAATAATATCCTTCTCACCACATGATTGTATACAACGGTTGAAATCACTATAACATCGTTATGTGGAATTTAATTTTTTTCAAGTATTCTGAAATGAAAAAATTGGTTTGTCTTTTCAACTCTTCTATTTATTGGCTAAAAATGCTATGGCCATCTCCATTCTTTGATCAAACTTTTTCTTAGTCAAGGTAGATGTCCCTTCTGTTATCATATTAATTATGCCTACAATAAGCTTATTATCCACGACTCGTCCTTCATCCTCTTCTTATTCATTCCTCTAATTACCACCACCTTGATTTTTTTTTCTCGTTCTTGTGATCTCTTTCTATACTCTCTACTTGATTTTTTTTTCTAAAATCTGCTATTTTCTACCCTTATCTTGCTCGACCAACAAACCTGTCTAGATTATCTTTTCTGATTAGATTCCCTATCTTATTTTTCAAGTCAATACAGTCCTTTATATTATGATTGGAGTCTTGATAGAAGGCACATCTGGTGTTAAATCTTAGTGACTTCGACCATTTGAGCTTGCAGTTCTTTTCGATATGCATTAAAATTCTCTCTTGGAAGGTATTTAGTGTAGTGTAACTTTTTGGTTTACTTGGGCTTTTGGCTCTTGGGTACTTGGGTCTTTTCCCTTTTGGGGGATTATAGATTCTTTTTCATTTTAGGGGATCGTAGACCTCTTTCTCTTTTCCCAAGCTGATGAGAGAGAATGAGCCTTTCTTACCTCAGCTGCTTTTCATTGTAGCTTCAGCGTTAATATATTTTTCAACAATAAGTAGAACGTCAGCCAAAATTTTTGACAGCTTTAGGGAAAAGGTGAATTTGAAATGGCATTTTCTATCATTGAATCCATTGATCAGAATAATGACTATAATAACTTGTTTTAGATTTTTAACTTGAAGGGCTCTAGTATTAAAACACATGATATAATCTTTCAAAAACTTATTTTTGCCCTGGTAGATTGACATTAAACTTAACATAGTTTTCTTTGTTCATCGACTGCTGACAAATTTGGATAAGAAAGAGTAAATGAGCTGTTTGAATGTAGTTGTAGACCTCGATTTTAAATTGCAATACCATGACTAAATTGCCCCTTTAAGCGTGATGGCTAATCCTTTACACATTAAAGCTTTATTGGCCCCCTACATTATCATATTAGTCCAATAAAGCTCTAAATGGTTAAAAAGGTTAGATGTATCATTATATGACCTTAAGTTCGATATTTTGAATCCTTTTGGAAGTATGGTTTGATCTATCTCCTCGATGAAGGGTGAAGTTTTCAAAAACTTCAACTTGTCATCAAATACAAAGGCTTTTCCTTTTAATTCTTTCTCTATGGCCTACAACAGAGCTTTCAGGTCTTTATTTAGTTAGGACTTTAGGGTGATTTATTTGAATTTTTAAATGGTGGTTTGTGTTGAACTGTGGATATAATAATGGGTAACTGAAGTAGTATGTTCCTCATCTCTTGAAGTCGATAAAGCTTCAGTATCATCGTAGCTCGATAGCTTTTCTACGTGCAGATTTCTTGGGGTGATTAAATCGTATGCTTTGGATGTTTGTGGTGAGGTGAGGTTTTGAATCATCTTTTTGAGGGGTTGTAATTGTTGGTTTAAAGCTAGGAATTGCTCCATTATGGGGCATATTGTAATAAGGCGATCTGTGTTAGGTTCACTAATTTAGGTTTCTGTTTTAGTTACCGTAGATGGTTCTTCTCGCTTGACAACTATCTTTCTAGGCAGATTTTGCTATGAGCTTAGCTAAATGCACTTTGCCCCTGCTTGATGCGTCAAATGTTGGTGGTGAGTTAAAACCTTGAAATCAAAGGAAAAAATAATATAGTTGTTAAAGACAAAGCCTAAGCTATTCGAGGTTAGCTCTAGAGTCAAAGATGACCTAGTAGGTCAAGTTGAGCTAAACATTGACTACCCAATCAGGGAATGACAAGTTAGCATTTAGGGGAATCCAATGGGTAGACATATGAGTTGGCCGAGCTAACATGACCTTGTGGATTTAGGTCAGCTTGACATGTCAACTTGGTCAAAAAGTCAAGATTGCCTCTGGTTATCTGCTAACAATCTCTAATAAAATGAAATGATTATTCTACCCTTTGGACCTAAAATGCCTTTAACGTTGTCCATTTTACATCTAGTTAAACACATGTTCATACATCAATTCCTAAGGGGTGACAAAATCCATGAGCTTAACTAAGCAATTAGAATATGAAACAAATAATTCTAAAATAATTTATTTAGTTTAGAAATGCTTAATGTCATGATCCTTAAATTATAGTAAAATATTCAATATAATACTTAAATTTTAAAAATTTCTAATGTGGTTCTTAAATTATAAATTAACGTTGGAGGTGATTTGGTGGATTATTCTCATGATTGGCAAATTTGTTTTTTTTGCTACAACCATAATTTGGATGAGAAAAATACAAACTAGGGTTTTGATCCAATCAAAAAAGCCTGTTTGGAAGGTGTGAACCTGTTGCAGAATATTAAACTAACATCATAGGATGTTAGTTTAGCATGCAACAAAATTAATGCAAATGTAGTGAAACAGATTAATTTGATGGCTACCACTGGATATTGAATTAGTTAAACTTAATATAGATAGTGCATCTTAAGGTAACCCTGGATCTCAATGCTAGAGGATTGATCATTTTTAGGTAAATGGATTGTGGGATTCCGGGCTTATCTAGGCTATTGTTCTAATATGGTGGCTGAGTTATAGGTGGTAAGGTTTAGTTTGATGCTTATATGGCAGGAAAGATTTTAGAAGGTTGAATGTGAATTGGATGCTAAAGTTGTTATTGATTTAATGTTTCCATTTACTTGGTACTTTAATTGGTGATAATTATGAGTGGAAAAACAAGGATTAAGTTTGTAAGTTAGAGTTTATATTTAGGTTATGTTTAATGTATAGAATAATGGATAAGATAATATAATAATTATTTTATATTATGTTTGGTTTGTATATAATTGAAAGAGTTAAGATTATAAGAAAGATTATCATCCTCTTGATATAAGATGATTCAATCATTTTAATATGAAAAGAATTTTTTTAATCCATAAAATTAAATTTACATGTCTTATTATATTTTTAAAAATTATATCAATAATTTAAATTATATAAACTTAAAAAAAAATAATTTTAATCAATAAATAAATCATCATGTTCTAATTTTTACATATATCAAACATAATATAATAAAACATTATTTAATTAAATATTAATAAAATATTATTTTATCTTATTTTATTATAATCTTATAGACCACGTAAACATAACCCCGTTTCATTAATTTTGAAAGAAAGAAATCTTTGTATGGATGATTTGATAAAATTGAATTTTAATACCATTATCAATGTTGAGGTTTTATGATTTTTTTTTTAATTTCAATAATTTTTTAACGAATGTATTAGAATGAAATTTTTTTAAAGGTTTAAAGACCTCATAATTTATTTTTTTATTTTTCTTTGGTAACCAAAAAAAAAATTGAAGAACAACATACCCTTTGTGGCATTATAATCAACCCATTGTAGCATCCATTTTTTAAAATAAAATAAAACGATTATGAAAAAATTTATCTAAAAAATGCATTATAGTATTTCTTATAATTTTATAATCACACATTTTTTATTGCTTATGTAGGAAGAAAAAATGATTTTTGACGTAAAGTTGGGCCCAGTTATGGTCCTCCCTTTACGCTGTATTTCCACTTTCGCCCAATTTTCCTCGGAAAGAAAAAACGCAGAAAACCAAATACAAGGGAGCAAAGCAAACTCAAAACACGATCAAAACACCGAAAAGAAAAAAAACCAAAATTCTTTAAATTCCTCTCAAAATCAAATCTTCTCTGCAAATAAACGAAAAATCCAGCTATGGGAAACACCGAGAAGCTCCTGAACCAGATTATGGACCTGAAATTCACGTCCAAATCGCTGCAACGCCAGGCGAGGAAGTGCGAGAAGGAAGAGAAATCCGAGAAATTGAAGGTGAAGAAGGCGATCGAGAAAGGTAACATGGACGGAGCTCGGATATACGCTGAGAACGCTATTCGCAAGCGCAGTGAGCAGATGAACTACCTCCGGCTCGCTTCGCGACTCGATGCCGTGGTTGCCAGGCTCGATACCCAAGCTAAGATGACCACCATTAACAAATCCATGGCTAATATCGTCAAGTCTCTCGAATCTTCCTTATCCACCGGTAATTTCTCCGTAAAAAAATTTACTTTTAAATGTTTGATCTCCTCTTTTGTGGCTATTGGGGATGCTAATAATTTTTGGAGAAATTAATAATTAAGGAAAATTTAGGGTTAGAATTAAAGGAGAACAAAAAAAATTGCAATTTTGGGAAATTTTGGGGGTAAATTAGCCTTAAGCAAAAAGATTGTGGAGACATTATCCTAAAGTAAATTCTATAAAAATTTATTAATATTTTTCTCTATTACTGTAAATTAACGGCATTAAGCTTTAATTTTGATGTGATATGGTGAAATTTGATTTTTTTTTGTTGCAGCCAATTTGCAGAAGATGTCAGAGACAATGGATCAATTCGAGAAGCAGTTTGTGAACATGGAGGTCCAGGCAGAGTTTATGGAGGGTGCTATGGCTGGTTCTACTTCATTGTCCACACCAGAAGGTGAGGTCAACAGCTTGATGCAACAAGTGGCTGATGATTATGGATTGGAGGTCTCTGTTGGGTTGCCACAGCCGGCTGCTCATGCTGTGTCAACCAAGACACAGGAGAAGGTTGATGAGGACAATTTGTCAAGGCGGCTTGCAGAGCTAAAGGCAAGAGGTTAAGAAAATGGTGGAATCCATTTGAATGAGTTTGTGATATATATAATAGCGCTATGGTATTTGGGATTATAACTGCTGCTTAAAGATCTTATTGGATGTGTAAATTTGACTGAATTGGGTTCTGCTTTCTATTGTCATATATGGTGCGTGTCTCATATAAATGAACTGATGCTTTTAGTTTGAATTTTAACACTAAATTTTCCCCAAAATCCCTGTAAGTATGTGGTATGTGGGATGATTGGGTCCGTGTGACTGCATTGGAAGAGAAAAGGGCATCTTATCACCCTTGCACTGGAAAGAAAGAAGGTTTGGGGTATCAGTATCAGTATCAGCCTCCTCTCTCTAGCTGCTTGCATTCTGTCAAGGTAAGTGACTTAAGCTGATGACATGAAATTGTAATATTTTTCAACGCATTACACCTGCTTTGGACCAATTTCTCAAGTACAGGGAAACAACAGGGAAACAAGAGAGATGATGTTGAAACAACTAGATCCTTCAGTTTAGCATCTTCTAATGTCAAACTCTTAAGGGTGTTGCATGTGGACAAGTCAATGTTGCATGGCATATGTTTCTTCGCAAGATACCAAATATATTTAAAGACTTGGGGCATGAACATTCAGTCCAGAGCAGTTGTGCTGAGGAGACCAATGATTTGATGGATAATTGGTTCAGGCAATTGTGAGATATAATCTACTCCGTCAACTGTTTGTTCCATGCTCTAGGTATATATCCTGATTCCTTTTCCTTCCAGGCCAAGCAATCCCATAATGATGTTTAAATGATGGTTCCTTCAACACTGGTTCTCTTGACATTTGATCAGCATATTCTGTTTCTCTCAGTCACCATGATGGAATTATTCTTTTCTATTTTGCCAGATGGTTTCTTCTGCAGATGTTTCTGTAGATGGATTCCCTTCAAATCAATTTTGATCCACCATTTAGGAATCTATGCATTTTGTCATACTTTGCACCAAGGGGTTTCTTCCCCACCAATTGGGACGCTAATGGATTTGAAGGAACCAAAATTAAACAAAGTAAGAACAAGTGGATACAAGAAGGAATGCACAAATAAATTTCAATTGACTAAAAGCCCGAAATAAGGGAATACTTCTACAGGGATGGATCCTGAAGTTACCATTGAACTTCACAAATTATTACAGCTGCCTGAGAACCAATTTCCAGCATTTAAACCAAAATGCCCATGATCAAAACTTCCAGAACTAGGAAAATTGAAGTTCAAGTGCAGATTAGTTCTACAATAAAACTGAAGTCACTTTGCTAAATTCTGTTTTTCTAACATGTCATCTGCATGAAAATTGTATGTTTATGTAATTGAGAATTTTCAGATTGCAATTTGAATTCCATTAAAACTGATGAACGAGACATGACTTTCTATTGAGATTGATGAATGACTAACAAAACTATTTTTTAATCGAAACAAGAAGAAGAAAATGAAAGGGTTCTTGATGAAAAAAAAATTCATCAGCCTTAAGAAACCAAGGAAAAAAAATAATAATAATAAAGGACTTTTGCAGCTTTGTCACAATATTGAAACCGGTCGGCAATTAAAAAAAAGTCATTTCCAGATATAGGCTATTTTTGGCACATGACTTTTGAGCGTTGGCCTTTCCATGTTTTCCATTTTGCCACGTTTTCCAACACGTGTGTCCACTTGGTAATGGCAAGGTATTTTTGAGGTCCCCCTTAGAATTTAGGCCAATTCCTCTTTCCTTTTCTAAAATGTTTATCTTTGAGTGTAATTTTGCATTAACATCTATCTTTAATGTATAATAATTCCCCTGAAATAGGACATATCTTATCTCAAATTATCCCCCACTTTCAAGCGTGGAAAAAAAAAACCTATTATTCATGCCGTAGCCGCATAGGTTTCGTAATGTACTTTCTTTTCCGTCCATGATTTGAAGGGTTGACTGGAATTTCAGCCACCAACATGTCAGAAATAGTTAAGTTAATTCAGCACGTGAATAGCAGTGGAGTGTAATAGGTACAGACAGCTAGCTAGTCACCTACTGCTTAGTAGTCCATAAAAACAGTGTTGAATGCCAAGGATTTCCAGAAACCCAACTTTCTTTTCCCTACAGATTATCTTCTTTGTCCTTAAAGTTCAAGCTTTAAGCTTGTTGTCATAGAAAAACAAGCATGAGTTTCTCCAAGTTCGTCTCTTCGGTTTTGATATTGCATCTGCTTAATCCAGCAGTTGTTTTGTCATCTTCTTCTTTGGGCTCATCAAATGGGTTGTCTGAAATCCCCAAGAAGTTTCTTGATTTTGCTAAAAGACAGGAGCTTTTTGATTGGATGGTGGGCATTAGGAGGAAGATACATGAGAATCCTGAATTGGGATATGAGGAATTTGAGACTAGTAAGCTGATCAGACAAGAATTGGATAAACTGGGTATTCCTTATAAATACCCAGTTTCAGTTACTGGTGTTGTTGGCTTTGTTGGGACTGGTAAACCTCCTTTTGTTGCAATAAGGGCAGATATGGATGCTCTTTCCATGCAGGTTTGAATAGTTTCAAAAGGAATCCGAAAATATATATATGTGTATATATATGAATAGTTTCAAAATGAATCCGAAAGATATATATATATGTGTATATATATATACATATATACACATATATATATATATATATATTTTCGGATTCATTTTGAAATTCTGGTTTTTCAAAGTTAGTCTTGTCTCAAGCTAAATCTGCAAAGATGAGGCTTAGTTATTCTATAATTTATTGATTTTATTGCGTTTGTGTTACTTTCACTAAAGTTGGATGCATAGGGAATATTGATTGAGCTTAATTTTTCAATTCTAGGCACTGTATGATTTTAGCAGGTTGAATTTGATCTTGTGATTTACCAATTGCGTTAATTTGAATTTGATTTTTGTAAACCAGGATGATTTTAGTTAAACTCTGGCACACAGCTTGTAATTGATGACCACAAAGATGTTTGCTTTCATTTTTTTTTTTCCTTCAATTTTATATAGTATGAAGAAAGAAGTCAACGTGAACTTCTATTAATGGGCTGTTAAAATGTGTAGGAAATGGTTGAGTGGGAGCACAAGAGTAAACATCCAGGGAAGATGCATGCCTGCGGACATGATGCTCATGTTTCAATGCTTCTTGCTGCTGCAAAAATACTAAAAGAGCATGTTGAAGAGTTAAAGGTGTGTCACACCAATTTCTCTTGCTAATTTCATATTTGCTTCACGCAAACTTTATGTTTTATAGTTTGTTTTATGATTGAATTATTGCTCTCCCAATCATGATTTGCATAGTAAGGGTGCTAATTACCATTTCACTAGAGCAAATTTTGATTGTTAATTTGTGTCTCCTAATCCAATTCTGTCGAGCCTCTTGCATGGTATCTAGGGCTTCTTGATAATTCTGGATGTTCTTTTCCTTCAATAATCTTAAATCATTAGTAATTAAAAAGGTATTTTATGTCACTTCAAAATTGCTAATTTCACCTTTTAATATATGATATGAAGGAAATGCTAGTGAATACATTCATTCATCAAATGTCATTCTATGCTGCTTTGCCAGAGAAAACTATTTTTTGAACACTAAAGTATAAGAGGTTATCAATTATCTCAGTACCTGGATGCCCTTGCGTATATTATATTTGAACCGAAGCAATCTGCTTAGTTGGAAAGTCATTGTGTAAATCATGCAGATATATATTACCAAACATGATGGAATAAATATTTCTATGAAAGTAGTTTCCTTTTTTTTTTTTAAGTTTTTTAAGAAAAATTTTGAATAGTGTTTAAAGTTTCATTGTTATTACAGATGTAGAAGTAGGGAAGAGCACTCTTGTTCTCTATTTGGAGAGTTATTTACTTGCTTATTTTTCATGGGGAAAAAGATAATGAAAAGATATAAATATAAGAGAGAAAGGAACAACTGCATAAGGATTTTGTACTTCTTGTTGCATTTCCTATCTTCCATTTTTTGTTTTATTCTATGTGGTTGTCAGTCAAAGAAATGGTTATCTGAAACATTGCCTTATGAGACGGCATTAGTTGGTCCATGGAGAAAGTCTATTTCACTGTCAAAATTGGCTTTCATTTCTTCTTGAGTTTTTTGCCTTGCTAGTACAGTTTTTTCTGTGGAGACCTAGACTTTTTTGCTCGGCTTACTGTCACTTTATGGGATAACTTGCTTTCTAGTAAGGTAATAAAGGATTGTGTATCAATTTGTCTGGTGATTTGGCTGCAATACCTACATTCCTGTTGGTTTTTCGTCATAGATACTAGTTTTAAGGCATTTATTGTGTCTGTAACAGTGTAATGTGTCATGGAGCATCAGTATAAGTTTCATTGGATATGATTGATGGAATCTCCTAGTATTACTTTTTCTCTTCTAAGGTAGAGGAGCATGCAGTAAAGTTCAGAAGAGAGCGAATGCCATAAAACACAATGTGTTAATAAATAATAGGAATACAAAATTGTTTCAATATCTGATGGTTACAGCAATATAGCTCACCAATTAGCTCTAGTGAGCCTGGAGCCATTGTTAGATAATGGAATAACATCTGAGTTCTCTCTTGTTGAATTTGGTACTTACAGTTCCTTGCAGATTTTTATTAGAAAATTTGTTCCTTGTTATGACCGACAACAAATAAGCCCCTAACTGAAACTCTGGCGATTGAAAAGCTTCTGACCTAACTGAAGAAAGACAATAGAACGGCTAGCCTATGTAATCTAGCCTTTGATTCTGTAGCCAGTGCTAGTTCTCCTATTGATATTCACATTGTCCCGTGAAAGTTTTAATTGTGTTAGGCTGTTCGCTTCCTTCTTTCCTTTGTGGACGTTTGATGCTGTTCATTTTTATTTCTTAATCAGGGTACTGTTGTTCTTGTTTTCCAACCAGCTGAGGAAGGAGGTGGTGGGGCAAAGAAGATGCTAGATGCAGGTGTGTTAGAGAATGTTGATGCAATCTTTGGGCTGCATGTTGCACCTAATCTACCTATTGGTACAGTGGCCTCTAGGCCCGGTCCTCTATTGGCTGGAAGTGGCTTCTTCGACGCCATAATAAGCGGAAAAGGAGGCCATGCAGCCATTCCTCAGCATTCAATAGACCCAATTTTGGCTGCTTCTAATGTTATTGTTAGTCTACAACATCTTGTTTCACGTGAAGCTGATCCACTGGATTCCCGGGTACATGTCTTCCTTCCATTACTTCTAGCATTCTATCCTTTGCTTCCTGTGCATATTAAGAAATGATTTGGCTTATCTTTTTAAGCCTTGTTTTAATGCTGTAGATGCTGTTTTGCCCTTATATACCCCAAATACCTTTCTTTAAATTTTTGCAATCAGGATGATTCCTCCACTTGGATTTTAGAATTAAATTGGGCAGTTCTCCTCGCAATGGTGATGGAACAGAAAATTTTATTTTTTCAATGATTAAAGCAAATGGATGCCAGGATTTTCATGGTCTGTCTGCGACAATTTACTTTGATGTGACTCATTGTATTTATCGGGCAACAAGTTGCTGTGATGTTCATTTGAGTGAACGGTCATGTTTACCATCTAATGAAGAAGCCAAGAAATTATGCCATGTGCGTTTGAAGGGTTGTTGGTGTTGTGGTGTATTTCCATTAAGCAAGTTTAGCGGTGGATTTATGTAGATTTTGTTAATAGCGTATTATGTTGCTTTATATAGAATCTGAAATTACTCAACCCTATGAACCTTTACTTGTAAATGCTGCTTAGGGAACATAACCAATGCCTGAAGGTATGAGTAGTGTTAAAGCAGAATAGGGAGGCAGCAAAAGCAGCTTTAGACTTCAGATCCATCGATGAGAGAAGGAACTCTCTATGCTCAAGAAGTTCTTAAATTCCCTCTAAACTAAATATGCAAAGAGAGAGTCTCAAATTTTGGTTTCCCTTTGACATTTCAATTTCAAACATGTTATATTTACTGAAATATCCTTCTTAGAAAAGTTTTCTTTAGATCTTGTACCCCTCTTCGGAATGATACCTTGTAACTTGAAACCTAGTGGTATTTTGATTCTTAGATTTTCTTTACTCTACGGGAAATACTTTCTCCCTTCTACTAACATAGTTTCCCTGGCTCAATGAACCGATAAAATATATATGTACTTCTTGTGATGCTCTGTGCTCCACTCTAACAAAGCATTTCCTTGTAGGTGGTGACAGTTGCAAAATTTCAAGGAGGTGGTGCTTTCAATGTCATTCCAGATTCAGTTACAATTGGTGGAACCTTTCGAGCATTTTCAAAAGAAAGTTTAACACAACTTAAGCAGCGAATTGAGGAGGTATATAAGTAAGATGTTTTGAATCATTTCACAAATCATTCAGCAATTTTTGGAGTACACAAATAAAATAAAATACTCCAGCATTGAAAGAAAAGGCTTGTGAGCAACTAGAAGTTTTGAAAGAGGTTCAATATTGTTTTTTTCCCATATTTCCTGCATTTTGAATGTAGTACTACTCACATATGTTAACAATTTTACAATCCCAAAAACCTGATTGACTCAAGTGACAGGTTATCAAAGGGCAAGCTGCTGTGCAAAGATGCAGTGCAACTGTTGATTTCTACAAAAATGATAAATCGGTACCACTTTTCCCTCCGACCATAAACGATAAGAACTTGCACGAGCACTTCCACAATGTTGTAGGGGATATGCTTGGCACTGAAAAAATTAAAGACATGCAACCATTGATGGGATCTGAGGATTTTGCATTTTACCAAGAGGCAATTCCTGGCTATTTCTTCATGCTTGGAATGCAAGATGAGACCCGTCCGCTGCTCAAATCTGTTCATTCACCCTACTTTATGATCAATGAAGATGTTCTTCCTTATGGTGCTGCACTTCAGGCATCATTGGCTGCTAGGTATCTCCTTGTTGCAGCAGAGCCAAAATTTCATTCACCAAAGGAAAATGTACATGATGAACTGTGAAGATTCTTGATCGTCCTCACTGGGGTTGACACTTAATGCTGCTGCTGTAAAAACAATCTTATTTTGGTTGAACACATCAAACAAATGCTTCAAGTTCATCAATATCAGTGTCCCAAATAACAATTTACAATGTCCTTTAATTATTTGTTCGTTCTTCCCCCCTAGTTTTGGAGATATAAAACTTAGAAAGATGTTAAAAATTTATAAAAAAATGTATGATCCTATATTCAGTCAATTGTAATCTGATAAATTCAATAAAATCATGCCATATCAGTTAAGGATCTAAAAATCTATACATGCAAAAATGGCTTGAACATCGGTGTTATAACTCGATCCAACAATCATCTTTGTAACCAAGTTTAGTCAATACCCTAAAATTTTGGATGCCAATCCTAATAAAGGATCCAAAGCACTTGGAGCAAACTTCCTTGCAAAAAGATAACAAACTGTAGCTGTCTGGCTATTATAAAGGCAAAATTGACCTTCAAAAATTTTCTTAAAGAAACCTTCTGTTATGTCATCCTTCCCAAATGTGGCTGGATGAGCACCACCCCTTGACCAGTCTGTCCATGTAAGAGTCCTGTTTGCCAAGAGATGAGGCAATTGGATGCTCAGCATTGTGGGGAAATAATGCTCATCCACATAACAAGCTGGCTGGCAGAACTCCTTAAACTTGGGATAATAGGTGGTGTCCTCAATTATGTTAATTGCAAGCCTCCTGTTAACTTCAAACCACTGAGATCCTTTACGCCATTGGCTAAGTGTGACCTCTGGTTCCATGCGTCGATCGTAGCGTCCTCTCCCATCAGGTCCAAGTTCATCAAATGATCCGATGAAGCTGTGTCTTGATCTTGATATGTAGCGATAGATTATGCTGAAATTGTGCAGAGGAATGCAAGACTCAGACAAGAGAACAAACCATTCATTGGAGATATCGAGCAATGCATTAGCAATGAGTCTCCTCTCAGCCTCGCACATACTCATCTTTCCCCACTCCACCATCTGCAAAGGATAACAACATTTAAACGAACATCTTCAGAGTGCCTACAGAATTTCCTCATTCTTTTTGATGTGCTAGTGTTTGAAAATGCATTCAAAAGCATATCAGGATTATGCAGATACAAGTTTTAAAAATAAAAGAACAGACAAGATTAACAATTCAAACACACACACACACACAAAAAAAAAGAAAATATCATACAAAAATGTTGGCAAGTGATAATACAAAGCATAAAATAGAATCACATTTTAAACGACAGAAGCAACCAATGGTGTAAAGCATACACAAGAAGCATATTGTATATGACAAGTGCAGTTCTAATGCTTTGACATCGTGGTTGGATTGCACCAGCCACAACTTCCCCCTTTATCCCGCCAAGAGTAATCCAAACTGACAGCCGTAGGGATCACCCACCCGAAAAAGAGTTTTCAGTTCTCAGGTGGCGGTTGTCGTGAAGAGCAAATGGATAATAGATGAACATCCAAAAGTTTCAAGATCTACAAATTGTATCCTATTATAAAATAGTATAAATAGTTCAACGATTCAAATACATAAACGAAGGCAATCTTGAAGAAAGAATATATAAGCAAAGATATGTAAAGAACAAGGGCTATAAATTTGAGCCACATATGTGGACATGGCTATATAAATTTGTATAGTAGATATGGGACAAAAAAGATAAAACTTTACTATGTGAATATAACCAAAAAAAAAAATGACCAACAATCAGTCAAGATGAAAAGTCGATCACCATCTATCCCAAAAAGTTAAACTATTTCCTTGAAGTTGGTAATTTTTGCATTCATGTTAGAGAAGTCTGTTTTATTCATCAGCATCATATTAATTCACATAATCTTGAAATAGCATAACAAGCTTCAAGTGCAGCTACCTCCAGTAACTGCACTCCAAAGCTCATTAAAGACAAACAAGAAAAAGATGGCAGCACAAAGGAACAGTTACTTTTATTAAGCTTTCAGCTGGAGACAAACCCCAAGGATAAACATTGACATTATTTGATAACAACAATTAAATAGGATCATGAACCAAGTAAGCATCTCAAATTCCAACAAATATGAGGTTAAGCAACTAAAAAGTCTCCCACATCCCACAACATATGTGAGAAAATGAAAAGTTGATAATACCTGACTTGGGATTTGTCTCCTGTAGAAAGCAGATGACGGTGGATGGCTGGCAATGTAAGATGGCAGCGCATGGATATATATCGAGTACTTCCCTTCATGCCCCTTGAAGAATCTGTCCCAAAGAGCAGCCAGTGGCAATGGCCCCTTTGTCAAGAACATGAAGGCAATCTTGGGGACTCTCTTGAAAGGATATTCCTTGATTTGAGGAACAAATGAAGCTCTCCAGAATAGTTCGGTATCATTCATAGTATGCATCAAGTTTGATGGAGGCTTAATCCAACTTTTTATGCTATTAGCCTCTTTAAAACAAGGCTGAATAGTTGATGGTGCCACAGTAGATACATGCTGGACCATAAAAAATCGTACTGAATACATACTGATGATCGATAATCCAATGCCCAGGACCAAAAACAACAAACAAAATAGAATGAGTCTCAAATGCAAAGCCCTGGAGAGGTTCGTTCTGACTGCAGAAGCCGGGTCCTTACCTTCCTCCATTGTCACCACCCTTGACTGCGTCATAACTTTATCTCTCAATCAAAATCAGCTTTCTGGGTTTATATTTTCCTCTAAAACCAAGCCAAGAAGCACCCTTTTGGGATCAAAACCTTTCCTCCAGATGACAAAGCCAAAACTTTGAAACGCATCTTATATAGAAAAGAGCAAAGGAAGGTTTATGATAGAATTAAGATCACTGATATAATTAAATAAGCGAAGTAAATCACTTTTTGCTGAGTATTTGTAAAACAAGAAGGACAATAAGTATGGCTGGAATGGCAGAAAATTTCGAAGGAATCAATGACCTTTTTTCCGGTGATCTCGGAGAAAACAAACACTACATGTAAAAAATGATGATTACGAGATTTAGAGATAGAAAAGAAGGGACAGAATTGTTGTTACCATATGCTTGGGGTGTGATTTTTTTATGAGTTATATAAACAAGGTTGAAATTAACAGGAGAAACGTTTTGAAAATCAAGATGGATCTGTTCACATTTCCTCTTAAATTCGTGAATTCTGCCAGGTATTAATAGAAACAGAGACAGGTTTTGTGGTTTCCCTGCACATGGAATGTTTTTGTTTTTAACAATAAGTTGAAACTGTTAAAAGTAACCGAAACGGCCAATGACAAAAAGAAAAAGAGAAATGAAAAGTGGGGATGGAGAAACCTCGGATTGGTAATGAGTAAAATTTGTGTCTGTTGCTTTGAGTTTAGAACTGAAATTGTCGGATTGTAGCTTGGCCAGCCATGTCCTGTGGTGATGTTGGGACTTTTCTTCAGCTACGGTGATTGTGTTTAGAAGATGGAAGGAAATAGAACTCCTGGTTAGTGTCAAACTGTGGCCCCTATCATTTCGCTGAATCTCAACTGATTTCTCACACTATATTTTCATGAATGGAATTTGGATTTAAAATGGATTTTAACAAGAGATAAGTGGTGATCATTTATTTATGTTAAATTAACCCCATTTGGACCAACAAAACGAACTTGCAAATCGGAATAATACACGAAGAACGTCAATAATTGAGAATGATTGATGGAAAATGAAATAAATTTAAACTTTTTAAAGCTAGAGAATGAATGGGATAAGAGAGATTTCCACAGGAAATAATATGTATGATGACGGGAAAGATCAAGAATCAGGAGCATAGAGTTTGTCCCATAAAATGCATGTGTCACGGATTTAAGGGGAGTCCTGAATCTTACATTGAACATAATAGGAGGGTTATTGAAGTATAAAAGGGTTCTCACCACCTTTTTCTTGTGAGGCGCCTTTTGTAAGATAAAATCGTGAGACCAGGGGGTCAAAGCGGACAATACCTCACAAGGGTGTGAACTGTGGCGGTAGGCTGATCTGGGACGCCAGAAGGGTGAATGCCCGGGTCCCGGAGCCGCACGGGTTCGAAGCTTGAGTCTCGACCCGTGACAAGTGGTATCAGAGCCAGCCCTAAACCGTTCGATCCACGCCGAGCGCCTCGATGGAGGTAGGCAGGGTGGCCGGCCTCCGTGACGAGGGCGTCACGAGGTTGGGTGCGGGAGAATGTCACGGACCTAAGGGAGAGTCCTGAATCCCACATCGAACATAATAGGAGAGTCACTGGGGTATAAAAGGGTTCACACCATCTTCACCTTGTGAGGCGCCTTTTGTAGGACAAAACCGTGGGCCAGGGGCAGAGCGGATAATACCTCACAAGAGTGTGAACCGTGGCAGGAAGGCTGATCTGGGACGCCGGAAGAGTGAATGCTCGGGTCCTGGAATCGCACTGATTCGAAACTTAAGTCTCGACCCGTGACACATACAGCTTGCTGCTGCACGAAATTATGTGTAAAGCCCGACTTAAGCAAGAGAGGCCCATTACGTCCTACCACTGTGGTCTGTGTCTGTGGCCATGCTTTTAAATCAGGGGTTGGTTTAACCAAACGAACCGGGAGAAAGGTAGTCCAGTAGAGCGGCGAGTCAGAAGCAATCTAACGATCAAAAAGGAAATGTTAGCAAATTGGATTTATAAATCTGCACCTATAAAGAAAAAGGTCTTCGAACTCACTTTCAACTGTAACCTTAATGCTGCTGCCTGATAGAAAGAAAATGGCCGGCCATACTCTTTTTAACCGTTATATGGACAAGAGAGATATGATAATTTAAAACATAACTCGTAATTTTCGGATAAAATATTTAAAAATTTCTAATAGGACAGGTTTTATCATGACAAAATTGCCATATCATTATTAGAATTTTTAATACTATTTTCTCTCTTCTGTCCTGTTTATCAGCAGTTTTTATTCTGTGTGCGTGCCGTGTATCATTGCAACCAAGAACAAGCTATACATTGATAGATGTGATGATTTGTATAGCTTTTAAGTATGAATGAAATATTTACAGTTTTTGAAAAAATAAATAAGTTATTTGAATTTAATTTTGATAAAATTTGAATTTGAATAGATTATTAAAGAATTGAGTTTGAGTTCGAATAGTTTAATTTATCAAGTGAATCGAATTTAAATATTTTTATATTTGATTCGAGTAGCTCACGAATTTAATTAAATTTTTATATTTAAATATATTTTTATTATTTTAATTAATAAAATATCTTGAATTCGAACTCAAACTTAAATATAAATAATTAAATTTTTATTAAATATAAAAATCAAATTTATTTTTATGGTTTAATTAAATGAGTTCGAATCGTTTAATTTTTATCTTGAATCGATTTCGAATTAAAAAAATAAAATTTGATCAAATTCAAATTAAATTTTAAATTTTAAATCAAATTTAAACTCAAATTTAATATTATATTAATTTAAATTTAATCGATTATATTTCTACTCCTACGCAGTCGTTTAGCAAACCCGTCGGTAGTTATATGAAATGCCATGAAAAGATGTTGAAATATAATCGAAAACAGGAATTAATTGCCTGACTGACGTCACTTTTTAAGTCAATTTATGAAATGACCATTAAAACAATTTGTTTTTCTGTCCCACAATTTTAGATTTAACTAGAATTTGATTCATGCTGCTGCGTTTTACCGAATTATTTTTATTTTTAAAATTATATTTTAAATATAAAAAAGTAAAAATGTTATATCAAATTTTAATCGAGGTCAACATATAAATAAATATAAATGAGTTTATTTTTTAATATAAATTATAGATATAATTTTTATTAAATTAAGATATTAAATAATATTTTTATTAATATAAATATAAATATAAATATAAATTAAATAATTAATTAAATATATTCTTTTATATATTTAGAGAAGAACAACATTCCAAATCCAATCCCACTTGAATCAATTTATTTAAAAATATAAAATTTAACACAATCCTTACTTAAAAAAAAATTGTATCCATTGAATGTGACTAATCAAAATATATTAGATATAAATTATTTTGTCATCCATACATTTATTAACTTTTTGCATAAATTATTTAATAAATAAAATTTTAAAAAATAAAAAAAAAATGACAAAAAAAAGAAATCAAATAAGATAGCATATGAATTTATTAAATTAAGATATTAAATAATATTTTTAATAAAATATGTATATAAATATAAAATTAAATAAATAATAAAAAATATATTTTTATATATACGAATATCTAAGTATAATGCACAAAATTTTGCTTTCACCCAAGTTCAATTTTAAAAAAGCTCAACCAAAATTATCTCGAATTAAAAAAAAATATTAATTAAATCGGGACGAATTGAAACCTGAATACAAGTTATTTTGTTATCTTCATCTCTATCTCAATTGATTTTTTTATTATAATATTTATCCAATAAAAAAACAAAAAAAAAAGGGTGGTTTAATGTGAACACCTAACATGAGACCAAAAACGCACATATTTTGGATTCTTACGAATTGAAATAAATTGAATACGGAGTGTTTTATCATTTTTATTTATATTGATTCTTTTATAAAATTTATTTAATAAAAAATTAAAAAAAAACCGAATAAAAACATTAGAAACCAAAAAAACAAATATTTAATAAATAATAAAATAAAATAAAAAAACAGATTTTTGGAAGAAGGAAAGATACCACGTAAACACCTCTCTTTTCCCCAAAATCTACAAAATTAAATATATAGATTTGCTCCCTTTCTTACTATTTGAGCTAACACTGGTGGTCATCATGATGTGTATTTTTTTTTTTATTGGAAGAAGAAAGATTTAAAGGTTTTGGAATAAGATATATATATCAATTATACATGAAAAAGATTGGAAATCGGTGGCACCAAATTATTGATAAAGATCCACCGATTAAAGTTCGAGATAGCAACATCTTTCAAAAAGGTCATAGTTTGGTAAGTAGAACAGGAAAAATCAAGATTCAACTCACCGAAACGCTCCAGGTGCAATGAATAACTTTCAGAGCAACTCCAATTTGGATTCTTTAGTCATTTAATGCTTTCTTTTTTTTTTTTTTTTTTCTTTTTGTTTCTAAAAGTTTAGAGTGGGGTACTTACGCATCTCATGTTAGTGCTTACAATTAAATTTACGTATAGTTCATTAAATGGGTTCGAATACAAAGTTTTACGAGTTAAAATATTCAAATATTAACAATTCCATCAATCTTAATGATTTTTCCCTCTCTCCCTCCATCTTGGGTTTTTTATTTTTTTATTTTATTTTTATTTTTATTTTTATAGGTTCTGATTAACTAGGAAGTGGTAAGGATTGGAATTTGGAATTCAACTTTCAAGTTGGTATATTTCTTTTTCCGTAGTTTACTATATTTGTTTTGTCAAGAAATCTGATGTTCAAATTCCTTTATCTTGTCATTTGTTCTTTGCAGATTTAGTGAAGAAAAACATGAGAGAGTTGACGATAAGAATAGATAATATATGTTAAAATTAGTTATCTCATATTTAATAAATATCTAATATTTTATAATTTTATATTTATATTCAATTTTTTAATTAATTGTCAATTGGTAAAAAGTTAAATACTTATCTTTTCTTAGTTTATTACGTAAAACGTTTATTTTATTTTTTTTTACATGTGATGAAAATATATTAAAATAAATTATCTCATATATAATAAATTTTTAATTTTTTATAATTTTATATTTAAGTTGAATTCTTTTATTTATTGTCAATTGATTTTAGGTGGAGATGAGATATCCCACTAAGGTTGGCACTTGGCAATGACATTTATGGCATCCCATTCATTGAGCTGTAATGATGGAGTGCATGCGGGTAGGACTCAGGATCCTGAGAGCAGATACCTTCCCTTTTCTTTCCTTCTCTCTTTCTTTTATCTATCTCTCTCTCACTCTCTCTTTTTTGTTCTTTCCCTCTCTTGCAAGTACAACTATCTGTTGTGGGATGATTGAAGAGACAAAACTCTCATAGCAACTTGCTTGTGCTATCTGCTTCATCTGATCCTCCGACTGCCCTTTTACTTTGCCTGTAACCTAACCTCCCCAGTCCCCCATTGCTCTTGTTTATGTTCAAATTAGCAATCCTAAGAAATGTAACTGCGGTTACTCTTCAGGTTTCAACCTTTTTCATATACTTTTACTGTCCTTTCACAGTTAATTACTATGATCATCAAATTTTAATTATGAAATTCTGTAGAAAATGTTGAAATACATGTCATTATATCAGAGCAGTTGAATATGGTAAAAGCATGGTACAGATATAATTACTGTTTTACTGATCTGTTTTATAGTTTTCATAGTCTCAGATTAATTCTGCTATGTAAAAAGTAAAAAGAGGGATAGTGATAGTAGTCATGATTAAGAGTATGATTAATGGAAAGCTTTTAGAAAGAGGGTGGTATACTGTCAAAAGATGCTTGCTTGGACTGCAGTTTTTACTGAAAAATTACAGTGCACATGGAATATTATAAGCAACTAAAAGGATGTTAGAGCTTTCCCCATTAGAAAGAGAGCAAAACTACATAAAAAAATTGTGAATAAAAGATTACCAATTATATATAGTTGAGATTAAAAACTGCTTCTCTGATATCTCATGCTTGATGCTCCCCATCTGCAGAAATATACTCTTACATACCCACCAAACCGACCAAAAAGCCTTATCTTTTTTTCAAACCCCACATTTACACCTCCTTTCAACTAATGAAATTGTATTTTATTGAGATACCCTTTTTCCTATCTATATAAGCATGCTTTTAAACATAACAGTTCGGTGTCAATACTGTTTCTCCAGAACAGCTCAAGGTAGATGAAATATCTTCCCTTTAACTCCATAGACACCAAAATTTGTAGTTCATGCTTGACTTATATTTTTGCTTTCCTGGATTGCTTTCATGTTTTTGTTTTGTTGGATGATTTCTTGGGGCAATTTCTTCAATCTCTATTTTTTTCCTTGATACAGGACAAACTTAGTTGCCAACACTGACGTTAGCAATGGTTGTTTTGTCCATGATCACAGTTTTCATAATCAAGAAAGTGATATTAAGCTGAGGTTTGATCCAACCGCAGAAAATATTCGTCACTTGTTGGCTTCTTTTGGCAATCTAACCAGAGTGGCAGCTGGATCTGGATTTGGTATGTCTTTCAACTATCTTTCATCTCAATTTTCTTTTATTCTGTAGATGAAACACTATGCAATAAAGTGGCATAACTGCTATAGAACCTTCCAGTTATATCACTTTTACTCAAAGTCCTTGGCTTATGGATGTTGAAGAAATTTTATTCTTCTTTGGCTCAGAAAAAAGTTTCATCCATGGATGGCCTGGGATGGGATGGCTCAGAAGTTATAGCAAACTCATTGCCTGTGTGGAACAGTCAGCGAAATGATATAGAAGACAGTGTATTAATGTCTAACTTAAATTCTTCCACGTACGGTGGCGAGATGGATCTGCCAGAAGATATCTTCAATCAAATTCAAGAACTTCAAAAAGCTCAGCTATTTCGTGTGAATCCAGATTCAGATATAGTAAGGGAAATGGTTCCACAACCAGTTTCTGAACTAGATTCAGTAAACGTTGCCTCGAACGTTAATATGTTGCAGCGTCAAGGAATAAGGTTAGCGGCAGATACAAGCCTCCCGAAATCTACTAATTGGAGAGATGCTATAACCCAAGAGTTGTGCTCTTCTCCTTTGATAGGTAGAGCTTACGGTTTGAGCACATCAAATGCTTCAATTTCTGATATTGGTATGGCGGTTCAATCACAAGCCACCAATGGTTTACGAAATGATAAGGCTGGTGCTACAACTACAGGCTCTCTTGAGTCCCTTGATTGCTTACTCTCAGCTACTAGTAGCAACATTGATACATCAGTTGAAGAAGATGGGATTTCCATGATTTTCTCTGATTGTAAGAACTTATGGAATTTTGCTGCTAGCAGTGCAGTTTCATCAGGAGCGTCTGAAAACAATGGCTCAAATACGGGAAGCATAGATTTCACCTGCCCAGTAAATGAGCTCGACGAGGCAGTGTCCCAGAGTTCTTCGGATCAGTACATCACTAATGGCAAACAGTCACAAACAAAGCCTAGTTCTTCAAATAAAAGTGAGTTGAAAGTTGGTCTAAATTGTGGTTACTTCAGTCTTCTTCAGACTGAACCTTCTGCCACAGAAGGAGGTTTTAGGTTCATTCCTGAGAACCCGCCGAAAGCAAAGAAAGCCAGATCAGAAAAGCGCCCTTGTTCATCGAACATCAATTTTCAACAGCCAAGTTCATCAGTATCTTCTTCCATTGAGGAACCTGATCCAAAGGCCATTGCACAAATGAAAGAGATGATTTATCGAGCTGCAGCCTTCAGGCCTGTGAACTTAGGCTTGGAAGTGGTGGAGAAACCAAAGAGGAAGAACGTGAGAATATCAACTGATCCACAAACTGTGGCTGCAAGGCAAAGGAGGGAGAGGGTAAGTGAGAGAATTAGGGTTTTGCAGAGGCTGGTTCCTGGTGGAAGCAAGATGGATACAGCATCAATGCTTGATGAGGCTGCGAACTACATAAAGTTCCTCAGCTCCCAAGTCAAGGCACTAGAAAACCTAGGCCACAAGCGTGACCCGATCAATTGTCCTCCTACCAACCTTGCTTTCTCTTCTTTACCTTTCAACCACTCTCTTGATCTCCCCATGCAAACACATAATTTTCCACTCCTAAACCCTAATCATATCCACCATGCACCCACCAAGTTGAAAAAGCTATTCCAAAACCTATAAAAGAAGTCCTAACCACATGGTTCCTCAGTCATACTCATCATCATTGCATTATTCATCATTAATGAATAACATGCAAAAAAACTTTTCCTAGCCTCAGAACAAGTACTACTGTATAAGAAAACTAGTCCGAAAACCAAAATCCCTTTATCATCATTTTCATCATTACATATATCTTCTGTAATCGATCTAGAGTTTCAAACTCTTGACAATGATGGAGCAGAACGGGGGAGCTTGTCTATCAGTTCTATATATTCCCACCATTCTGTTTTCTGCTTCCACTCTCAAAATTGAGATAACCTAGAGTGGAACAGCAAAAAGAAGGGTGGAAATATAGCTAGTTCTTGACAACCTTTTCATATGAAAAGGCTTAGCAATTATAGCAGCTATGATTAAGATCAAGGGCCAGAAAGTGATTATGATTACTTTACTCTTTGGTTAATGTATTCTCTGTGTACTTGAAAAGCTTTCTTTTTCTTGGAGATCTTTTATGGTGGTTTATTTTAATGTGTACGTTGTTTTGCTAACCAAAGCAAAGAAACATTCTCTGTACATATGTGAGTCCCCAGCCAGTGGTCTCCTTGATTCAATCCAAAGCGTGCTCTTGAAAACCACCCCCAGTCTAATTGCATAGCACATGTTTATGCTTCTTTTTTGGCAGGTGCATTTGTAATATATTATATATATATATGATTATTAAACTCCTAATTCTGTTTTATACTTGTATATAATCCCTAGAATCATCTAACTAATGATGTTTTCATGATAATGAATTGATGATGGTGATGTGGATTTTTTTTTAAATTTGTTAAATCCTGGTTTTGCTTCTGCAGTTTCAGCTTTTTCTTGTAAGGGTGAAAAAGCGGGTTTTGATTGGATCAAATGGGTCTTTTGTAGTTTGGATATACATGCTAAATGTACACAATCTGTTGAGAAAGGAGCCAGATTTCAGGCTGGGTTTTTTTTGTTTTTTTGGTCATTCAAGCTTACCACATTTCATGGGTCTCAAAATAACCAATTTGCGTGCGAGTAAGAGCATTTCTAGTTCAAATTGGAAGGATTGACTTTTTTTTTTCCGAAACAAAAGAAATCTAAACCAAAAAATTATAGAAAATGTAAAAATTTTAATTATGAAAATTCATAAAAAATTAAATGAATCATTTAAATTAAATTTTGAATTCGGCTGAATTGACTTTGTTCGAGTGTTGTTACTGTAGCTGTTGCATTGATGTGGACAGCTACATATATTAGTGACTTGTAGATCAATCAAGGGAAAAGCCATTTTCTTAACCGTGGGAAAGCATGGCTGCTCTGCTCTATTGCGATTGGCTATGGTTGCTCAAATTCTGTGGGTGTCAGGAATGATTGGTTATCAATTCTTTAACAGGGATGGTAACGGGTCGAGACGGGACGGTTTTTTGCTCGTCTCAAACTTCATCCGATTTTACATCCGTTAAATTCGAATCTGATTCGATTTGAATTTTTTTTACTTTTTTAATACCCAAACTCGAACTCGACATTATATAAACCATACCAAATCTAATCAGATCCGATCCGAAATTAATAAAATATTATTTTTTTAAATATAAAATATTATTTTTTAAATATAAATATTTAAATATATAATTATATAAATATAAATATAAAATTAATTTAAAAAATATTTTTATATAATATCGAGTCAGATCAAGTTTGTCTAAAATCTAATTCCAACCTTTTTTTAGCGTTACCCAACCCAAAATCTGATTTAAAAATAAAAAAATCGATCCTATAGAATCGGGTCCGGTCGAAATCCGTCGGAGACAGGTTAGGTTGCCTACCCTACTCCTCAATCGAGGTTTGACATGACAACTTTGCCTAAACTGTATTAGTCCTATTGAATATTATCTTTGTATGCCAATATACAAAATGATTTAATATGATTTTCTAAATTGGCATTAGAAACTTTGTAGTTTTTTTGAGATTGTTAAGAAATTTGTCGGATAAAAGAAAGATAATTATTCTATCAACAGATCATATGATGTTGAAAAAAATTTTTATCCTCAAACATGGTTACATATTATAACTAAAATTCTTGTTTGAATCTATCTGTGAATTAGTTATGGGTTTATACTTTATACAAGGTTCACATGTATTTTATCATTTTATATTGTTATTATCAAATAAGGGGAAGTCAATTTCTTGTGAATTTTACATCTTATTCCAAAGAGAAACAATGTTTTCTTCACTTTGATGGCCCTTCTTATTTTGAGCTCTCTCAAATTCTCAACCGATAAACACTGATTCAATTGCATCACTACCTCATCCATGGTTAGCCTTCCTGTCCTACGTGCAGATATATATGCACGCCATTGGTATATATATTTTTAGCTTTCCTAAGAGATTGAATGCCAAAGTTTCCTTTTAATCTTGGATCAGCAATCTTTGCTATGTCTCCTTTTGCAACCATAAAACTGACTTGTTCGACTAGATCTTGATGATTATGAGCCTTCTTAGCCCTCAGGTGTTCTTGAAATAGCAGGTTGGTCTATGAACATCTCCAAAAGAACAATCCCAAAGCTATACACATCAGTATTCTTGCTCTTTGATTCTGATTATATACCTGAAAGCAAAAACATGTAATTTAGCCCCAAATGAGGCAATAATCTTTAGAACAATATATATAATTAGATCACTTAATTTTTCATCAAATAATTAACAAATTTTATTATTTATTATTTTTATAAAATGTGAGATTCTAAAATAATAAAATACACATTTCAAAAATCCTTGAACTTATGATTCAGAAAGCATTTCACTGCCACTTGAGTGCCATCCAAGTATCCATGGAAAACTGTTCCAGATCCTCCTTTAATTTCCAAGAACTCTCTCAAAGTTGTTTGTCACCCTTTGAACCTCTCAGAGTATTTGAAGTACTGGCTATTCTTGGACTCCATAGACTGGTATGTATTTTGTGGAGTTAACAGGTGCAATTAGCAAATGACTACTGAATAAATTCATAAAAAATTACAAGGACAACTGATGCTACCATTGATACAATTCTTTGATCTTTCAACCAGTTCTGCTAGACTGTTTTCCTTCTGGTTTCTGTAAAGATAAAACAGTAAAAATACTTCACTTATTAAAAAAAAAAAACTTAATTTTTATTTCCAAGTAACTTACAGTGCAGTCAAGGAAGGGATTGAAAATTATTTCCGCCAACTTCTGCAAAGCTGCAATTATGACCTTCCCACTATAAAAGAAAATTACAGCATTTCCAAAAGTTGAATAAGTAAACATATATGATGTCAATATATATATATATATATATATTTTACGAGAGAATTGTAGCTTGAAAATAGGATTATGAATTAATGGAGTAAAACCTAAATATAGTTTTAGAGATTGAGGAAAGGAATATTCATTCTAAGTCTACTTAATGTGTGAATGGATTAAGAATTTTTGGAGTTTTAATATGTTATGGTCATTTAACTTAATGCATTTGATGAAAATAATAAAAAAGATTGCTTCGTTGTTTTTTTTCTTTTAATTTAAACTAGGAGTCTACAAATAAATTTCTACTCTAAAGTAATTAGAAATAATTTTAAGCTTTTTATGGAAAATTGGAAGAGAAGAGTCTTTAAATTTCAAAAGCCTCAAAATTTCATGAAATATAAGTTATTGAAAAAAAAATTAAATAGAGATAAAAATGACAATATTTGATAAAGCTAAATGGGCCTAAAAAGCCCATTAACAGCAACAATATTGTTTGGGTTAAACATGAGAATAGCCCAAGTCTCATTGCTTATAGTTTCTCATAATTTTTTTAGTTGAATTTCCACAGAATCTTATCTATAATAATAATAATAATAACAATATCAACAATAATAATAATAATAAATATCGAATTTACTAATAGTGACATTTTAAACTCTATAAGTTAAAAAAAATGATATATATTTCCTAAAATATATTAAAAATAAAAAACTATTAACAATCCTATCCATTATTTATGACACGTACTTCTCAACCTCTAGTCTATATTACAAATATGTATAATATATTATATGATATGAAATGGTCCAAAGTTGAAATACTCAGATTAATGGGTTTAATTAGCTTGGTAGAAGATGGGGACCATGAGGTTATAAAATCCTCCTAATAATTATTTATATTTGATTAGTTGTGACATTAAAATTGATATTATTATTTGTTTATCATTCTGTCACTACTCATTAGTGTAAACTTTTTCTTTTTGGACCAGATCATTAGTGTAGACTTGACTTAGTAAAATTCTAAAATTATATTTTGTTTTAAGTGAATAAAAAAAATGGTTCATTTTTTAAGGGCAATTTGCGAAGGTCAAGTAACGCTGCCTGCACGTTATTAGAATATGGTTCTTCAAGATTTTGAATTTTCAGATGACTGATTTCAGTACGTAGACTGAACAGATAGATGGCTACTGGCCAAAGTAAAGCCTTTAAAGAAGGAGAATTTCGCTGATATTGACCTGGTAAACTGTTTTCTTTTATGCATTAATATCATATGAAAAATTCTTTCATTTTCATGTGGGATTTATATATCATGCTAAATGTATAGTAATATACTTAGTTTTAATAAATTATTACGTCTTTCCTTTTATAAATGCATCCTCATCACCTTGGTTGGTAAGTATTTTAGTACCAAAATCCGTGTTTATATGGTATAAGCACAATATTTTTGTAAAAAAGATTAAGAATGAAAATTTTATTAATTCAATAATTAAACTATAATTAAAAAAAGTGATAGTAAAAGTTAACCAATGAATTAATAAAATTTTCATTTTTACGTCTTCTATTCGTAAAGCTCAAAATTTTTAAAGAAATAAACTTTTTTTTTTTTTATTTCAAATAAACATCAATCTTCATTCTCAAAATTAAAACATAAAACTTCCGAGCTCTTTATCTTGTTCAATATCTAAAAATTACAATTGAGAATTAATTAATAACCTTGAACACAGATATATGATATATCTATTCCTTTCCATAAAATAAACGAAATTATAATTAAAAAAAAAAAAAAAAAACTAAGCTCAAAGTCTGTTACAACTGTGTTATACATGGCTAATATCTTTGGAAGTGTTTTTATATGTGTACTACAACAAACAACAAACTAAACTTTATATTCCCTGAAGTGTCTTTATGTACAGGTAGAAAATTACAAACCCAGCTCAAGGGGAACATTTTTCTAAGGATAATAAACCATGATATTTTTGGTGTCCTAATCACCTTGCTAGAGGAGTTATTTCAGACCCATAATTCAAGGATATCATGCCAATTGATTCTAGTGATTCATCCTCATTGACGACTCCCCTTGTCCTATTGATCTCTGCCAACAAGCACTCGCTTAATTCCATCACCACAGTAGTCATGGTTGGCCTTTTTGAGGATGCTGGAGATAAACAAGCCATTGCCACTTCTATCGCTTTCCATACAGAATTTATCTCAAACTCCCCTTTCAACCTTGAATCGACAATGCTTTCGATGTCCCCATTGGACAACATGGAGCCAACCCAATGACTTATGTGAGTAGGCTCATCTATTGTTCTTGCAATCACAGGCCGGTTTGTAATGATTTCCAAAAGAACTACCCCAAAGCTATAAACGTCACTCTTCTCCGTCAACCTGTTTGTTGTGGAATACCTTCATTGCCAAGCATGGAAACCAAAAAATTAATTTTCAGCAATCAGATGAGGTGGGAGATGAGATCACAAACAATAATCTCTAGACAAGATGTAAATACTTACTCAGGGTCAAGGTATCCAGGGGTACCGGCAACGACGGTGGAGACATGAGAGCCCACCTTCGAAAGTTTTCGATAGCCCGAAATCAGATAATTTAGCTTGCATGTTTTCATTTAATAAGATATTGGTACACTTTACATCTCGGTGGATTATGGGAGGTTTGCAACCATGGTGTAAATATTCCAGTCCTGCATTTTCATTTCATTTATTATTATTATTATTATTTGTATTTTAGTTACCAAAATAAAGCAAAAATAAAAATAAGAAATTATTATAAATGAATTCTATTACGATCTAACGATCTCAAATATCCAAAAAAAAAAAAAAAATGTTCATGCTAACCTTGTGCTGCCTCGAGCGCTATTCCAAGTCTTCCTTCCCAATTCAAGACACTGCTATTGCTGTCTGAATTCATAGGGAGTTATTTTTTTTTCTTTTATTTTAAGTAAAGAAATTTAACCATGTGTAATAATAATATATATAAACAATATATTAAAATGAAGTACTTTTTTTTTTAATGAATTGAGTGTGTATGATATTTATTAATTAATAGTGCATTAAATATAAATTTTTAATAAAAATATTACAGTAGGGGAATAAAGGGAATAAAGAGTTCAAACCTCTGAGATACTCTAATAAGTTTCCCTTGGCCATGAACTCATAGATTAACCCCATGTTGGTGCCATCATCACAATATCCAATAAGGCTAGTCAAATTTCTATGGTGAACTCTCAAAAGAAGCTCCACCTGTGTGATGACATATATTTGTCATGAATTAAAACCCCAATTTTAATAGCTTTATATGTATCAATGAGGTCAAACTTGAGTATTAGTGATGTTATTATACCTCAGCTTCAAACTGCTTATACCCTTGAATAGATGATTGTGATAGCATCTTAACTGCTACTTCAGTGTCACCTATGTAACCGAGGTAAACTGTTCCAAATCCTCCTTTTCCAATAACTTTCTCAAAATTGTTTGTGATCCTTTGGACATCAGAGTATGTAAATTGTCGATTTTTTATCTCCTTTTTGTATGGTTTTCTAGACCCCAAATTGCCTGCTGATTACATTAAAACAAGTTCAATAAGCATATAACTAATGAGAAAATCCTTGGCAATAGCATGAAAAAGATCATTTTTATGTCTTGTTGTCCACCATCACTCGAAGAAATTGGGCTTTTAATGACGCTTTTTTTACTATTTAGTGGCGTTTCTAAACTTTGTTAAAAGAACATTTTTAATGAAATGCTGAGAAAAATACAGTGAAAAGCTGTAGCGCATACTTTGTAAGTTTTGTTCTACCTGTTTTTCTCCCTTTAAACCACCAAAGGAGAGCCGAAACAATAATGAGGAGAGAAAGGACTGAAGCAACTGATGCTGCAATCGGAACCACTACGCTGTTCTTCTTCTTCGTTGTCATGCATGAATTCCATGTACAAGGAATTTGATTTCCCTCCACACTTAATTAATTCAGTTGACAAAGAAAAATGAAAAAAAAATGTAAGACTTGGATTACAAGAGTTAATAATCGACATCTGATACATAAAGTTACCTATACCAATCCCAATTTCTAAGAATTTAACCTCTCATGCAGTAAATTTGTTCTCATGTTTGCTGAGGAGATTAGAAAGAACACAAGGAAATTGCTATATAATCATAAATCGTAAATCATGGAAAGGAAAGCATACTTTAATTGTAGCAAACCCTTGTTTGACTTATCAATGAGTCCTCTGGGGATTGAACCATTTAGTGCGTTTCGTTCCAAGTTTCTGCAAATTAGATATAGAGAAGAACCTTCTTTAATTCCTTATTCAAAATTTAGATTTTTCAAGTCTATATCTCAAGTAATTAACTTACAGCAGAGTCAAAGATTGCAACTGAGTTAGAAAGTCTGGCACTGGTCCAGTCAAATTATTGTTGGATAAGTCCCTGATATTGTAATAGAAATGGTTATATTTCTCCTCCATCTATCATCCTTCTATATGATGATACCGGGTTATTTCATATGAGATGGAGACACTTACAGATACAGTAATTGAGTCAGATTGACGATATAAGGAGGTATCTGTCCACTCAAACCGCTAGAGGATAAATTCCTGATTTCATGAACAATAGTTTTATTAACAATTGAATGAATATTAATAGCTTAACTTGAACTCTAAGGCAGAGACTTACAAAGATATGATCCTAGGTGGATTGGAATCCTCGTAGCTGCAATTAAGACCTTGCCATGAGTATTCTTGTGGAGCACAAGGATCACCTTGCCAATTTCTCTTCAATCCATACATTGATTTTATATTCATGATCGCATTAACTATCATATATATGTGAGAGAAGGAGATATATATTAACAGAATGATAGGTAATGATCGGGACTGAAGACAATCTTTCATTAGTTATAGAGACAACATACCATCTTTTTCAGCTGTTTGTGACTGTTGAAATTCCTTTACCTTATAAGCCTCAAAGGCATTCAGGGTAGGTGGTTCGGTTGATCTTCTGGTTCTTACCATTGAAAAATTGCCTCCATTTAACGCAGCTGTGGTACGTATAGTGTCTGCCCGCAAATATGTAGGACTATAAGCTGTGAACCAAAGCAAGTCATTGAGATAGATGATGTACTCTCTGGTCTGGTTAGCTTGGAGCACTTCAAGTTCTGCCACGTACATGTAAAAATAAAATTGGGCATTGGGATCGGAATCTTGGACGGAAAAATTCAAGGGTTGACTTGCGTTCAATGGTATGCTGGCAGTGCTCATGGCAAGATTTGGTGGATCATAGTCGTTGTTAGATGTAATGGTGGAAGAAGTATTTATTTGTCCCAAATCAGCTCTTTGGTAAGGCCGCCAGATACGATCATAATCATCTTGTGGAAACCTGAGCCAAATATTGCCCATTAACTATAAGAAAAGAGCACCTAAAATTTCTTTTTCTTCTATATTTGCAAAAATTCAGTAAACGACTTACCTGAATGTTGAATTGTATGTTGAACCAAAAGCATGCCTGAAGAAAATTTCCAGTGATTCTGTTCCAGAGTTGGTGTCGTAGGTTGTGTTTTTCAAAAGCCTCAACTCTAATGCTGATATGAAAGGGATCCCTTTCCCAGTGTTCACGAGACAGACATGCAAATAATTTGATTGAAGAACATGAATGATTTCCTTGACTACAACAGCAGATGCATTTTGAAAAACCATTGTATCCCACAAATTAGGTCCTAAATATAGATCAAATTCTGGTGTTTCATTTTTTGCATCATAGTTCCCATACATGAAACTTGTTCTGACTAAATATCTATTACCCTTGCTGAGGTTTATCATGTAACAGTTTCGGTCTCCTTCCGGAAAACTTCTAACATTCTCCAGTATCTGTTGCTGCGTGCCTGAATTGAATCCAGGTAGTCTATAGCTCATGCCAATTTGAGTTTGGATGAATGGCGCATCTGAAGTATAATTTATGCCTGTTGTGGTTGCATTGTAGCTTGAACCTTCAGGCAACCCACAATCTAAGCTAATGAACCCTGGGAAGAAACATGGGGTGGCCTTTATAATTAGTTGTTCTGTTAGTTAAAGAGAAATGGAATTGTTATCATGAGATTTAGATAGCCAAACCTGTTTGATTCTGTGCATGAATCAAAACTGCCATAGCAAAGCTGCTAAACAATAGGAAATGCCTTCTCATCTTCATCTGTCTCTTCATTTCTCTCACATGTGATAGCAAAGCAACAGTTACATTTTATACTTAGATTACAGGTAAGACCTAAGTACCATTCTGAAACCAGATACTGGCATAAGAAACTTGGTCAATTGTTCTTGTAGCTAATTGTTTTTGTTTTTTAAGTTACCGTCTCACTATTATTATATGTTTTTCAACAGATTTTTGTCCGGCTTTCTTTTCTCAGGTAATGTTGCTTGTTAGATTTCTCTGTTGAATAAAATTAATAATTTTAACATCATACGTTCGTATGGCACAAAAATTATATAAAAAAATGAAAATGATATAATTTGAAGATTTTACAAAATTAATATATAAGGTTGATAAAAAGTAAAAAAAAAAATTATATTTAACGTGTTTATATAAATTATATTATGATAATTTTTATTTTATATATATTTAATATAAAATAAATATAATACAAATATAAAAAAAATGATAATAAAAACAAAAGTATCATGACTTTAAGCTAAAGCTAAGTAAAAGGTCAGAAGTATGTACTTTTCATGGTAGGTTTGGTAGAAGACTTTGATTAAGAATGGTTTATGCATCGATCAACATGACTGATGTAAAGCGTAACCTCCCATTTGCGCCTTGATTGTTACGGATTACTAATTAAATACTAAATGAAAAAGTATGCATAGACTTATGCGATAATAATTTATTAATATTGTAAAAGAATTAGTAAAACTTTTGCTGACAGATGGAAAAGTACACAAATAATTAGTACTCCCAAGAGTTGAGAGTAGTTGATGTGGCCTAGTTTTCTTTTTAAAATAAGATTACATTTACTAGTAGAATTTATAATTACAAAAAAAAAAAACTTTAAATAAATAAAATATTACATTTATCATCCATAAAAAAAAATCAATAAAAATAAACAAAACTAAACATACATAAAAATCAACGTAAGATGGAAGTTGCCGCTTAAGACTTGAAAGTTTCATAACTGCCGTCCCCTTTTCGCTGAGATAAAGTCACAATGACCATTTAGCCTAATTAATTACGCAAATCTAAGCGTGAATGTTTTCAAGAGGATTTTGAATTTATGAAATTATATCCATTTAGTAATTCCAAATAGAGTAAATTTGCGATCATAAACTTTGAGTTAAATATTATCTTGAACTCTATACTTTATAAAATCACTTGTTAATCTTTAAAAGTTTGAAATTATAACATTTTGATCCTTCCATTAATTTAACCTCAATTTATATTTTTGGCGAATGGCGATCCAGCTCGGCCTTTGTCGTTGTTTGTCGTCGCCGGCTGCAATTCGTTGGTTCTGGATTTTTGCCAAAAAAGAGCCTTGAGCTCCTCTCGGTCACTTCTTTTTTTAATTTGATTTTCCCAAAATGGGAACACGGGAGATCTCAACAGCGTTTAATGTAAATTTATTATTAAAACATTAAAAATCATTTTATATTAATATTTTATTAATTTAAATATATTTGAATTAAAAGTAAATAAATAATATTTATTTTATAATAAATATTTTCACGACTCGAGTCGTGTTTGGGTTTCAAAACTTTTGCTAAAAACAAATTGAATCAAGCCCATTAACAATTGGACCAGTGAACAAGTCTAACAGTAAAAAATTACATGATACTAAAATTATAGCAAGGATTTTGGTATTGTTCGTAAGTACTTAAGTGGTAATTAGCCTAATATGTTATGGCCCCAAATTCACAAAAACAGAAAAGCAAGAAATTAATTATTGATCACGGCAAGAACATCGTCAAAAGTCCTACGTACATTGTTGTATTTACATATATAGTGAGACAAAAGACAAAACTCCACTCCTTAGCTCTAATTCAGTCGAAGAAATTAGCTTAAATCGCCCAATTATTGCAAAACAAAAAGCCAGGCATATGGACAACTTAATAGTTTTTTGCTAAATCTGTCAATCTTAAATATATTACGATAATATGACACAGAAATAATATGAATAAAAAATATAAAAATAATATAATTTAAGATTTTAATAAAACTTATAAAAAATTTTCATAAAATTTAAAAAATATGTTTCATATTTTATATTTTTATATCAATATAAACTATAATTTATAATTTTCGTATATATTAAAATATGCATATATAAATTATTAATATTTTATATAATATAAACATACAAATTATCAATTTAATTTGTACCCTCTTACTGTGATTTTACGTATCTCTTCAAGTTACGAAATTCAAATAAATTTATCAATTTTTTTTAAAATAAAAAATAAATTAAAATTTAAAATTAATAAATTAGGTTCGAAAAAGTATATGAGTGAAAATTGAGATGCATTTATGTTTACCAACTAAGATAGTTAACATTAACCATTGCCTATGGTTCGACCTATAATTGAGATCTTTGGTGAACACATAAATCGCAGTGGAGGAGCTTTTGTCTCCCATGACTTGATCACGTCCCATCTCTCTTTCGCACGTTTCGAAATTATTGTCGCCCTCAATGTTGCTATTACTTCAGGATTGTGACTTGTCCCATTTCTCCCGTCGTAATGAAAAAAATAAAAATAAAGAGATTGTTTTATTTTTTTGGTGGAAAAATATGAATCGCTAAACTTTATTAATAAATTTCTGATATGCAAAGAACCTTGACATTTTAAATATGCAACCTTTTGTAATCAATGGCATTTCAGATCTGCATTAATCTCTAATCTTGTATAATTACTTAATCTTTACGGTCGAAAAGGGAAGGGACTGCATCGGTACTTTGATCCCCCAGCCCACATTCAGTCGCCTTCGAAGCTGCAACTTCAAAAACATGATGCAGCTCATCCGTCACCAAATTCTTTTCCGAATGCAACAGTTTTAATCACTATAATCACAACAACAAAAGAAAAAGAGATAGTTGCTTGGCCCTTCCCCCACCCCATTTTTGCCTTCCTTGTAATGTGATTTTTGATTAGTGACAAGCATGTACCACAATCTACCAAAAAGTCAGTGGTGCCATTATTCAATAGGATCAGGTGGGCTTGGCTTGTATATCTTTAAATTTTTGTTTTCAATTAGAGCACTTTCAACCAATCAAATGATGATTTTATTCAAATGATAAAAAAATTATTTTTTTATTATTTAAGTAAAAAAATAATTTTTACAAATTTATTTAAATTTAATATAAATAAATTTATTTGAATTGATTTAAAAAAAATGGATAAAAGCTAAAAATGTTCTATTTTTAAATAAAAAAAATTTACAGCACTTTCAATGTTTGGGTTCAATGAATTTAGAATGTCTTTTCCCCACCTTTTCTTGAGTAGTCTGATCAGTGTAGATTTTCTTGCTAGAAGAAATTAGAGAGGAAAAACAAGGATCCTTAAAACTTGTAATGGTGTCTATTGAAATTCCTAAGATCACAAAATATCTTCTTTTTTTTGACTTTGCTTTATTGTGAATTGTGATCACTTGCATCACTTCACTTTTAGCCCATCTCCGTTAATGTGCTAAACCCATCCTTTTGTCAAATATATTCACTTCCAACCAATATAAAGTCAATACACAGTCACATCATAATGCAATGTTGGATTAAATACATTTGCAAGCACAATAACATTTAAAAATAAATCATATATTTAAAATAGTTGACTTGAAATTACAAGGATTAATTCGATCTTTACATAGAATACTCTATAGAAAACTAAATATATAGATTAATGTGAGAGAACGTATATTGAGTCATCTAAATATGAATTAAATCTAAACAAAAATTGATCATGAAAATTTTTTTTATCGTATTAAAAGATGATTGACTTGGCCTGAGTCAATTGCAAGGAACAACAAGAAAAATGAGGAGATGTATACAAAATAAAACAAATAAATACTCCAAAATATTCTTTTGATGAGTAGCAAACTGAACTGGGATAATTGGAAATGCAATTAGTTTGATCAGAATGATGTTGAAATAATACTTAAAGGAGATTTTTTTTTTTTATTTGAAACTATTATGAATCTTATTCGCTAAAACCAAAAGTTTAGCTTTTTATCAATAAATGACACAGCTGTTATAATTTCATTTTTGCGTTATAATTTGAGTTAGGATGAAAAGTAGATCGGTCTCAATTATTGTTAGTTTTTTTTTTTTTCTTTTTTGGGCCCAAATTTAACTTTAGAAATATTTCTCGTAAAAGGAATAGGGACAACCAAGATATTTGTCATAAAACAGAGGTTAGCGAACAAGTATCTATGCCTATTTAAACTGGGCAAATCGGCTATATCCAAAAGGCAGCAAAGCAACAAATTCACTCCTTCAATACTACTCAAAAAATTACACATAACATGGCATTGTTGTTGTTTCTATTTCTTGCCACAACTCTAACAATTTCACAGGGATCAGACCAGGAGACTATCCCCCACAAAGTTCACCTCCTCAGGCCACAATCGGGTGCCGGCGGTGACCATGTACCTGGCTTGTCATGCCTGAGTTGGCGCCTGGGCGTCGAAACTAATAACGTTGTTGGCTGGATTACTGTTCCAGAAGAGTGTGAAGACTATGTGGGACATTACATGTTAGGTCACCAATACAGGAAAGACTCGAGAGTGGTAGCTAATCAGGCTATTCTATATGCTCAAAGCCTCAGCCTGGCTAGAGATGGCAAAGATGTATGGCTCTTTGACATAGATGAGACTGCACTCTCCAATTTGCCTTATTTTGCTCAGCATGGATTCGGGTACGTACGCAATCATGCAGATCATCTCAACTTTATCATCAGTGATTTATTAATTCAAGGCCATTTGCATGACCTCAAAACTCTTTTGCTTCTATTTTCGTCTTCATATCCTGTTTAAGTACAGTATTAGTTATATATATTGGACGGATTAAAATTGTACTAAATTTGCTTCAAATTATAAACTAAAATTTGGTGTTTGTCATGTTTCCAATGGCATGGGAATTCCAGGGTGGAGCCATATAACCCCACTTTATTCAAAAAATGGGTAATGGAAGGCCAAGCCCCAGCTTTGCCAGAGAGTCTTACACTGTACAAAAAGTTATTGTCTCTTGGGACCAAGGTCGTTTTCTTAACAGGAAGACCAGAAGATCAAAGAACTGTAACGGTTAATAATCTAAGAAAAGCTGGATATCACACTTGGGAGAAACTTATACTCAAGTAAGTAATAAGCTTCTAATAATGATTTAAAAAAAAACATGGTGGGTCGTTCATCTTTCTTGTTTTGATCTTTTTTTGGTGATATTTTTGGAAGCAGGGGATCATCTTATTCAGGCAAAAAAGCATTGGTATACAAATCGAGTGAAAGGAAGAAGCTCGAGGAGAGCGGATATAGAATCATTGGAAACATGGGAGATCAATGGAGCGATCTCCTGGGGACTAATGTCGGCAATAGGACATTCAAGCTGCCTGACCCAATGTATTATATCAGTTAATTGAAAATCAATGGGTTTTATATGAAATTTGGAAATTAATTAATGAACGAATGTATTTTTATTGCTTAATGTCGTTTGCTCAAGACGGAAAGAAACTTATGGCAAAGGGGGCATAATTAAGAAAATTATAATTACTGCAACCTAAAAAAATAAAAATAAAAATAATACATATTATATATATATATGCATTTGAACAATAAAACATGCATTAAAATATTACATTCAAATCATGCAGTCAGAATCGTAGCGGTCGCCATTTGCAACGTAACTATCGTTACATTACAAAAATAAAACCCCAATTTCTCTTTAAAATTGTTCAAAAAGACTATAATTTGAAATTAACAAGGGAATAAGTCTTAAAGAGTTGGTGAAACAGATGAAAAACTGATATCGAAATCAAATTAATTTTGATTAATCAATTGGTTAGTAAAATTTTGAATCGGATTGAAATTCAAAATAATCAAATTTCTCAAATAATTTGTTTGTAATTTTTTGTAAATATATTTTAATATAGTTAGCAAAAGAATAGGCCATTATCTTTATTTGTAATTTCCCCAACTCTACTAAAACTAAACGCTCTGGAATGCCCTCACTGACTCTCATCCATCTTCCTGCCATTCATAGCCATAGCCCCTAATGTCTTCACCAGTCACCTCCTTCCTCTCTAGTCTTTACCAGCACCCTAAGCCAGTAACATTTGCACATAGAGCAGTAAGTGACGCTTACTCTTTTTTTCTATTTTGTTGTGATTTTATTTTTAGCTAATTTTTTTTCCTTCTGCATCTCCTGTAGCCTGAAGCCCTTGGTTCATGGCTTACTTACATATTTTTTGTAAAAAAAAATTTTAAAATGTCATGGGGGTGGAAAGCATGAGCATTTGGACGGAGGTGTAGTTTAATGGGCCAAAATTTTTTTTATAATTATTTATTATAATTCAATTAAAATTAAAGAAAAATAGTTTATACATTGTTAGTGGAATCCGCAAGCAGATTAGTAAAGTAACACATACATCTTAAATTATATTAAAAGAAGTTATCAGATAGATTATGTAGTGAAATTTTTAGATTTTTACAAACAAGATTAATAAAATGACATACTCATAATGTATATTAAAAAATAAAAAATTAACTAAAAAATAGAATATTTGTTAGTTTTTTAATCCCATTTGAAGAGTTAAAAAATTTGACTAATAATATATCAAATAAATTTTCATATTAAAAAAATAATTTAAAGAAATAAGACATATATTAGTCTCATAACTATCCTACGAACTTTAAAATTAAAATAGTAAGATTTCTTTTTTGTTGGGCTTCAATTCTTGATGAGTCCCAGTGTAGTTGAAGACCTAGTATAATAGCAGGCGGCTACTCTCTCGCCTTGTTGTTATATGCTTGATTCACGATTTTGAAATATTGATGTTGGGTCAACATATGCTAAGTTTGTCAAAATTGCCAATTTTCTTTGATGCAATCTTAATTTTCCCCTTTTGCCAGCTGCATGAATTGACTCTGGCTTGCCAATATTATTGCTGCAAAGCCATAGATCTTTAAGCATTTAATTATATTAAAACTATCTTGTTTTATTTCCCTAGAATGTTATGCTAGAAATCCAGAGAATAGCATGGATTTAGAAAGATTTTCTGACTGGGGGAAGCCGAAGAACTCCTCAAAACGCAATAGTCTTAACCAGATCCTGTAACTCAAATCTCATAATTTTCCTAAAGAATTAATTGGGGGTTCGCAATTGAAACAACTTATGCAAATATTGGCTTGATATTTCTCTACATTTCTTGTAATGTATATGTAGACATCAATTTATCCAGAATAAATAAATAAATACGTAATATAGGTATAAAATATGAAATATAATAAAAAAAATGAAATAATATATAAAAATACCAAAAAAATGAAAAAAAAAAAAACAGAACAGAACAAAAAAATTGAGGATGGCAGTGGTGCCATCCCTGGCACCATTGCCACCACCCATGCCACCAGACCCACCAGACCCTCACCCCACTCTTCTGATCACTATACCCTACCCTCCACCCCTCTAATTATTTCTTTCATTGACAAAAATTACCGGATATGGCTAAAACTAATAAAAGAGGCATGGGGCTCGTGCTTACACCCGTGCCAAGCCCCATGCCTTTCCCCCCAAATACACATGGCTGGAGCTCTATAAATAGAGCTCCTAACGAAGCCAAAGAAAACGAAAAAAAGGAAGGAGACGCTGCAAAAAAAAATTGAAAAAAAACACAAAAAAAATACACAGTCCTCCCGTAGGGAGGAACCCAGCGCCTAGAGCTTCTTGCACAAAAAAAAGGGTCAGTTTCATAAAAAAAAAAGAGTCAGAATATACAAAAAAATAACCTCACCGAAACTTTGAAAGCAGATCTAGGGAAGTGGAGACTCCTTTAGGTGAAAAGGAGGTTAGATCTGCGCTCAGGGGGTCGAGAAGAGTTTGTGAGAGATTTTTAAAATTTTTCGACACCGTCAACGGCTGCCGGAGCTCGCCCCCGGCAAGGATTGTTACGGCCATCGCGACGGACGGCCACCGGCCCCAGGTCGACTGAAGAAGAGAGAAAAAAAAGGAGATTTTTTTGCTGGAAAATGAATGAAATGAATGAAAAACTTTTTTTTAACTTTTATATAAACTGTTAATAGCCAAAACGACATCGTTTCAATAAAATGCCCAAAATGACGTCGTTTAGACCAAGGAGGATCCACGCGTCAACTAGCTACCAGACTCGAGGTTCGCGTACCCGACCCGACGACCTGCTTCTCCATTAGCCCCTGATCGGTCCATTTGAACAGGACCAGATCGAACCGGACCGCACTTAAACCGTTGAACTGTGCCCAGATGAGCCGAACCGTCGGACCGAACTGTCGAATCGAACCGTGCGTTGATTGGACTGTTATCGGTCCGGTTCAGGTAAAATTTTTTTTTTTTAATTTTTCTTATTTTTTATATATTATTTTATTAATATTTATGCATATTAAAATGTTTATATTTGTTGGATCAAATGATGAAATTGTGATTAAATTTTTAAAAGCAATAATATAAAAATAAATTTAATAATAATACTAAACTAATAAAAAATGAGAGAAGGAAATTTTTATCCGACGATAAAATTCAAAGGTATTTCGAATAGTGATGCCTATGAAATCTCTAAGTGAGAAGATTTTTTTTAAATACTACCAGTGTATGGTAGTATTTAAAAAAAATTTTCAATATAATAAAAATTTTCTTTTTTTAAAAAAAAGTAATAAATAAAAATTGATGAATATATTAAAAATATGAGTAATAAAAATGAGAAGAAAAGAAATTTTATCCGATGATGAGATTCTAAAAGTATTTCGAGTAGAGATGCTTTAAGAAATCTTTAGGTGAGAAGATTTTTTGTAAAATATTATCAGTGTATTGGAATATTTATAAAAAATCTTCAATATAATGAAATTTTTATTTTTCTTCAATTTTTTAAATAAGAATATTAATAAAATATTAATAAAATTTCTAACAAAGGGAAAATAAAATGTGTGCGTCAACATGATAACATTTCGCATTGCATGCATGACATTTTTTTCACGAAAAATAAATTTGAGCCTCCGAAGATGAGATTCTAAGGTATTCCGAGAAGCGATGCCTAAAAAATCTCTAGGTGAGAAAAAAGTTCTTCTAATGTTACCAACGTACTGGAACATTTTAAGAATTATTTCAATAAAAATGTTTTAATTTATTTTTCTCGAAAATTTTTTTTAAATAAAAAATCAAGGAAATTATTTTTCTAACACCGAAAATTGGACTATTTTTATCAAAATCAAGGGATAACATGTTAATTGGTATCATTTTTTAACGGACGCTGTGGGGGTGCTAATCCTTCCTTACGCGTAATCGATTCTGAACCCAGACTGTTTCGCAGACCGTAAAATTATCTTTTTAATAAATTTTTATTAATTTTAAAATTTTTATTAAAAGGATATGTTTTAGTAGGTGGTCAATCGCACATAGCCAAAAAAAGATTGGTGGCAATTCCGGTAGTTTTTTTTTTATTTCGTTTTCAAATTATCGGGCAGACGCAAAACCGTTACGATAGCTTGGCGACTCCATTGGGGACGCTTTTTGTTTTCGAGAGTCAGGCCAAAATTAACTACTTGTTATCCTCAAAATTTGATTTAAACAGTCTTAATCAATTTTTTAAATTTTTTATTTTTCATTTTTACTAAAAAAAAAAAAAAAAACAAAACAAATCAAAAATAAAAAGTAAAAATTCACACACATTTCTTTTACTATGCCTTTTATGTTTTATTTTTCTATATATATTGCTTTCAACAAATTAGGATATATTTGCACACAATGGCACGATGCATCTCATACATGAGCTCTATACTCGGGCTCCGTCCTTTATAAGAGGAAGTAAAGTACCTATACTCTCGTGAGGTGATAACCTCCGTAATGGCAAGCGAAATACATCCACTCGAATTGAACCCTTTTCGTTCGTAACTTATAATGGGTGAGGATCGGGGTGTCTTACTAGTCCAACATGGACGACAGTAAGGAATAATTTGGGAACCTTTAGACCTTGTCAATCCAAACCCAGCATCTAATAAGCCTAAAAAATCAGCCTTATGTAGAGCCTTGTCCATCTTCTTATAGGAAATACCTAAGAATAAAAGTTGTGTATAATATGAAACAAAACAAAACAAACAAAAAATCTATAAAAAAAACACTAAAAAAATAAAAAAAATATTTTTTTTCTTAAACCACATCCTTACACTAACTCAATTTTGTTTTTTTTTCTTTTTTTTTGCATTAAACATATCATACAGTTTTGCATCGAGATATTTGCTCTAGGACATATTTCTCCCAAGAAGTTTTCATGGATCCCATAGAACTACAGATTTGCTCATCTTCAATCAGTGTGCCATGTGAGTTGTATAATGAAGTACATGTTTGGTTGAAAGTCATGCTCGCAAAAGATATAAGAAAGCACTTTGAAGTACTGAATGAAAAAGAATCACTTCACCA